CCTGCACTGGCACTTTCGATTCGCCAGGCTCGTTCGTATATATCTAAGCATGCTTGTGAGTTTATGTATGTACGCATGTGTGCATGTGTGCATGTATGTATGTATGTATGTATGTATGCATGCATGTATGGATGTATGTATGTATGTATGTATGTTTGTATGTATCTGTATATATATATACATATATATATGAGTATATGTGTATACACATACACACACAGAGGCACACATTCGCACAGAATATGCACACATGCACACATAGCATAAATATTTTGCACACATACGTATATATATATATACATACACATGTATGTTCACATATATGTATGTATGCATGTATGTATGTACATGTATATATATATATATATTTATATTTATATACAAACCCATTATTGGAATACAACGCCTATCACCCGACCTGTGATGTCCTGTCAACACTCCTATTCCCCCCAATCTGAAGCACATAAAGATTCTTACAGATTCCGAATCCCGAGACCCGACCAGGCCAGAAACTTTACTTTGTCAATCACAAGCTCCAAACCAAGCCCTGAATCATAAACCCTGTAGCGCCACAAGACCAAAAACCCTCCGCCCGGAACCCTAAACCCCAAACTCTAAACAACTCTAAACCGGAGACCCCAAGCCCCATGCCGAAGGAGGCCACATCAGGGCAAGAGAAGGCTTTGCGCTTGTCCCAACAACTCCAAGATTCGGCCAGCAGCCTCGAAGAGGATTTGCACCTGGGCACAAGCTACGGTAGTTTAGGGGTTTAGGGCGGCGGGTTTAGGGGTTCAGGCGGGCTCAGGGCTTGCATGGTCAATCTTATTCTTGTCGGTCAGTATCCTTCCTAGTCAGAAGGTAGTAGTATGAGTAGTCGTCGTGGTCGTCTTCGTCGTAGTAGTAGTGGGAGCAGCAGCGGCAGTGGTAGTAGTACTAGTATGAAGTGGTTGTCGGTGGAGGAGGTCGTAGCTGATGGTAGGCTGACTAACTGCACCGGAAAGCAGATTTACCTGATTTACCTTGATGGAACTACACCCTCAACACCTACCTCAATCCCTAAACCCCACAGCCCGAACCCTAAACCCCAAACCCCGGAAACACCAGACCATAGACCCTAAACCCGTACACCCCTAAACATTTTCCCTGGGCATACCTCAGCCTTACGCCTAAGGCGCCGCGAGATCGCCTCCTGCCATGAGGAGCTCCACCCTCAAAGCAGCGGGGCTTGAGGGGCGTCGGGTTTCGGGTTTGTCGTAGGTGAAGGATTGGAGGTTACGGGACCTGAAGTAAACCCTCTACCAAATCAGGCCATCAGGCCCTCCAAAAATTCCTAAACTCTCTAACACCCTACACCCTAAACCCTCCACAGACCTTAAGCCCTACCTGGACCCCCAAAGAACTTACCTTTTCAAGGACTTATATCAAGAAATCACAGGAAAGAACCCTAAAGAGGAAGGTTCTATAGGGTCCCTAAACCCTGAACCCTAAACCCTACACCCTAGGCCCTAAACCCTAAACCCTAAACCCAAGCCTTGAGGAGCTGCTACTTTGCGCAGGGAGCATTAGCGACCTCGAAGGGCAGCTGGGTGAGGCGAGCGATCCTTGGAGCGGATGGCTCCGGATTCGTTTTTTTTTTTTCTCGGGTTTAGGGTTTTAGGGTGCTATAGGGGTTTAGAATTAAGGTTTTAGTTTTTTAGGGTTTTGCATTTTAGGATTTAGGGTTTATAGCTATAGGGTTTAGGGGTTTAGGGCTTCTGGGGTTTGGGATGAGGTGTTCAGGGGGTTTTAAGGGTTCTTACTGTGTTAGGGTTTAGGGGGTCGAGGGCTTTCCGTGTTCATGGATTTTTGGGGTTTAAGGCTTGACAGTTTTCGGGTCATATATCAACCCGAAGCTTCAGCAGCATAAGCAGAAGTTCCCACTGTGACGGCTGAGCCGCCAAGGACATCGTGGGAGCACTCAAAGGTTCTGTTGCGCGACTACGGAGCGACATGCTTGTCCCCTTCCAGGAAAGGCTGAAGCAAATAATCATAAAAAGCTCCACATCGTTGTCTTTTGCCCGCCTTCCAGGGAGTGCCAAACAAACGAAGCCCTGAAACCCTAGGCCGCCGTTGTTGTCCCCTTCCAGGAACCGGCTACACCAACACCCCTAAAATCCTAACTTTGTTCTGGTTTGTTCGTTGATTAAACTATGGTTTCAGCATATTTCAGCAATAGGGCCTTCAATGGGGTCTTCGTGATCTGACTTGTGGGTTCTTTGCGGTTTAGGGCTGTGCTCAAGGCCTGCTTACTGCTGTTTTCCTTTAGTTGTCGGTCGACGTGTTTCTAGGGGTGAAGCAGGCTTGGCTGCTGCGTTCAGGGTTGGGTTATGTTGAGTTGCCACTTTGCAACATGCGAAGTTTGGCGCCTCAGCTCTACAGACCCTAAGCCACAGGAAGTAAAGGGGAACGTGGAGCTGCTGGAGCGCATGCAGGCCGTGAACGTATTAGTCCGAAAACTGTTGCGCTTCCTCTTCGATGCACGAAAGCTGCGCAGCCAGATGGATGCCCCCGGCAAAGATTTTTCCAAGGCGGCGCACACCCTGCATGAGCTGGAGTCGGTATTGCAGGAGCAGGGTTGAGGGTTCACGTTTCGGGCGTTGGCTTGGCCCGTAAGGTCATACGGAAAGTTCATAAATGCGAAGCGTCTTCTTACATGTCTTGCTTGCCTGTAAACAAATAACTAAGTAAACAAATAAATAGATAAGCATAAATGCGCAAATATAAGTAAATAAATAAATAAAAATATATATATATATATATCTATACACATGCGTACATGCATACATACATATATACATCGTTCGTTCGTTTCGGGCAGAGAGTCACGTGTCGGACGCAGCCCTTGTTGGGATGCACTTAATTAACAAAACTCGCGACTGACTAGGCGTCTGTATGCAGCATGCCAAGCTAATGAAGGCAACATACAACTCAGACCACCTAGGAGAAGCAGGGAAGGCGAGGTACCATAATCCGACCAGCTTAAAGCAGAAAATCGTCTGCACCAGGCCACATCCTGCAGACAAGCAAAAATTGAAAGTGAGGGCGCCTAAGATTGCACCTTCTCACTAATTTTCGAGTGCCGGCTGCGCATGCCCGCACATCCGTGGCAACACAGCCTCTAGCGAAGCTTGCCCTCAAACTAGAGGCTGGGAAACCTCAACGAGGCGTACCCAGCTCAGACTCACCCCCGGGATCAAACCAACACGCTGTGTCCTGGATCGCTGCGTTCATGATTGCCGAAGCCATGTGACCATCCTGAATCGTCGCCTTCACGTTGTCGACCGCAAAAGCCTCAACATCCAAACGCACACCACCAGGATCAAAACACCAGTAGCACGCAGGAATGTCATCAATGTCCGCAACGAAGTCGGTGGAGAACCGCTTGACCTGTCCTGTCGCCCTGCAAGCCCGCACGGCCTCAATGTTCTCCAGAATGTGATCGGTCGTCTGGTGGCGTGCCTCATGGGCGACTGCTGGCTCGAAACCCACCATTGAACAGCAGTGCCCATGTCTGCCAGCACCAGTCTCACTGCGGCACGCGAAGACGGCAGAGTCGGAGTCTTCACCACCGATCAGCCCGTCCGAAGGCATCTTTCCATCAGGTTGGATGCCGTGCTCGAAGCAAAAAAGCTCCCAGCAGGCACAGCCGAGGTGTTTGCAGCATGTGTTCCCAATGACAGGGCAATCATGCCACTGACCATCTGCTTGCAGGTCACTCAAGTCAGAAAAGAGGCATCGGCCACGATCGGCAACATGCGATCCACAAGGAATTGGCTCCCAATCCCCCGCACACAGGATTGGCTCCATATGCTGTAATGACAACTCCGCCAGTCGTCTGATTTCCAGCTTCCGGTCCTTCAGGCAAGATCCTAACTTCCACTCCAGGTGCAAGCGAAGAGCCTTCAACGAGACACCACCAAAAGGCAGGAGCACGGATAACGCGAAAGAGATATGTCCTCGCAGAGTAGCCTGCATGACAACTTGTCCGTCTGTCGGCTCGGGCGTGCCCTTTCCCATGGCATGGGCAATCAAACTAGGCACTGGGGCCATCGACGATCCAGCGCTGATGCTGGTATTTCGGGCCCTACATATATACATACACATGAATCTGTACATATATATATATGTATATATCTATATATGTACATATATATATATCAGGAGAGCAGCCTGGAGAAAGTGGACATTCTTCGGGCTGAGGTCCTCTTCATTCGGGATGTGGGCGCACGCGTCCGGCGACAGTCCGAGGAGGACCTCCGCACTGGGGTGCGGCAGGGGAACCACATCGCACTGAGTGTGGCGCTGCAGGTGGGGCCGGCCTGAGCTTGAAAGTATAGGGTTTAGGGTTCCTACTGTAGGGTTTAGGGTTTAGGTTTTAGGGTTCCTACTGTAGGGTTTAGGGTTTAGGTTTTAGGGTTCCTACTATAGGGTTTAGGGTTTAGGTTTTGGGGTTCCTACTATAGGGTTTAGGGTTTAGGTTTTAGGGTTCCTACTATAGGGTTTAGGGTTGGGGTTCCTACTCCTCCGACGTCGAGCCGGTAAACCCTGAAGCCTAAATCACGTGAAGGGTTCAAAGGTGTACGCTGCTGCGGTAAAGTATCTGGCCGTTGGAATGATCCAGTTCGACGAGTTGTCACAGAAGCTCAAAGCTTACAGAGCTCCACGCTGCGCCCCCAAAATTCCATAGGCCCTACAAGCCCTAAACCCCAGAAGCCCTATCAGCCAGAACCCCCCCGAGTCCTATAAACCCTAACACCACCACGACCCCGCAGGTGTTCTTCAACCTGGAGAGTCTCTGGCCCCAGCTGAAGAAGCTGCTGGCGGAGCTTCTGGAGGAAGTCAGACAGGCGCCGTTGTCAGCTGCGGGCTTTCTACAGGGCTTGGATGTGAACCTCCAGGCGCAAGCTCTCGAAAGTCCTCCAGTGCAGAGTTTGCTCTTTATCGGGTTTAAGCTTCGTGTGTAGTGCTCAGATATTAAGGTTTAGAGTTTATATGTTTTAGGGCTGGTGCGGGTCTCGAGCTTGAAGAAACGATCCAGGTACTGGTGGCGCAGACGCAGCGCGTGCATGCCTTGGAGGAGATCGTGGCAGCGAAGATCGACCCGGTTACGCATAAGAGCTTCCAATCTGTGTTGGAGGATGCTGGCGTTCGCTCTTTGACGGCCCACTTCTGGACTGAAGCTGCCAGTGTCTTTAAGGCCAAGCTCGGGAAGGTGTGCCAGGACCGAGCTTTCCGATCAAAGGCCATCTCAGACTGCCCGAAGGTCCTCCAAAGTTTGGTATCTGCTGTAGAGAAGCTGGGCCGTGGAAAAGTTATGAAATCAACAGAGCGCGAGCAGCTTTACCAGTCTGCTGCGGAATTGCGGAACGAGTTTTTGGGCGAGTCCATCCGACGTGTAACTGATCCTATCGAGATGATGCTGCCGGACAAGCTGCTGTCAAGCCTGAGTGCTTCTGGTGAGCGCATCGGGGGAACCGGCGAGACGGTGACGGACGAGCTTCCCACCATGCACGATCTGCGCCGTTACGTGCAGCTGCTGGTGACGGAGTTGGAACGTGTCGAGTGCTGTCCCGATCTCCTGCTAAAGGATGTGCTGCGAAGCGTCCGGAGTTCCGTGCTGTTCTTCGCCACTCGATTGGAGCAGGTTGTACCTGTGGCTGCAATTATGTACCGCTTTGGGGCTTCTCCCCGTTACTTGAGTGTTGATTTGAGGGGTCACAACTTCGTTTCTGTTCTTTAGAGTCGCTTTAAGCCCTAAACCCTAGACCCCCCTGAACAGGTAGATTCATCCTCTGCATTCCAGTGCCTGACGGAGGAGGATGGGCTCTTGCGGTTAAAGTCGCCGCTTCCCATGCCCACTGCCGGCCATGCCCGGAATGCCCGGCTGCTGGGATCAATGTTTAATAATGAAGCTAACTCAAGCTGCCATAATTTGTCTGCCTGTATGTAAGTATGAGTGTCTGTCTGTCTGTCTGTCCGTCCGTCCGTCCGTCCGTCTGTCTGCATGCACGCACGCACGCACGCACGCACGCACGCACGCACGCACCCATGCATGCATGCATGCATGTATG